TTGTTTTCATGGAATTTTACAATAAACTTTCATTACTAGAATATATCTGTTCCCGGCAACTGAAAGAGCCTAATTAACCTGCTAATTATATTGATATTATAGTAACTGTCATCTTGGGTTAGATCCAGGGTCTAGAACCCAGCATTTGGTTTCTGAAAGGGGCACTGTGTGAATATCAAGGCATGGTGGGAACCGTGGGGCTGGAGAGGGCACCGGCTACTCAGCTCCTGTGATTGTTGTCACGGGTCACCTTGGGCCCAGCATGGCCAGATCTGACCTTTTCCAAGGGAATGCGTAATTCCAGATTTTTATGTGAAACTTTCTGACTGTTAAATACTATCAATTACTTTACATATTTTTAAAAACATAGTACACATCTAGCAAAACACATCTGCAGGCTGGATTCAGTCTGTGGGCCACCGTTGTGTGACTTCTGGACCAGGAGCCTTCTTGTTGAACACACAGAAGATCCTCATCTCCTCCAATCACAAGTTATAGTTTAGCCCCCCGAAATTTCTCTCTCCTCCAAAGCTGAAGTATTCATATTTTCTGTTGAAGTACCCTTTGGGGGTATTATTTCCCATCAGTTTACTTGTGGAAAGTCCTTTTTCATTTTACGTCGACATAATTTCTATTTCAAGAGGTGGCCTTCACCTACCAGACTAGGATTTGGCAAGTCCGTCTGCTTTTATTTTCACAACTTTATAAATTCCTCCCATACATACTCTTGGCCTTCATTTGTTTCCTACTAAAGAATGCTATTTCACCTGTGGTCAATTAGTGTTCCATAAACATTTGCTGACTGCTAAGTGCTCTGGGGATACAAAGACTACAAATCGTTAGAACAAAAATAGCAAAAGATAGTGCTGTAAGTGTTTAGAGATGGGAAAGATAGGAATTAACATTTACTGCTGTCCTGCCATATGCCAGATTCTTCACACATCATCTCAAGAGGTAGGTACTATTTTCCTGATGATTATATCCATTTTACTGATGGATTTACTGAGTTCCTCAGAGTCCTACAATAATTAAATAGCAGAACCAGAATCTGAACCCAGTCTTTCTGATTCCAAAATAGATACCACATCCTAATACCATGTAATCTCCTATGGACTGGAATTAATAATCCCAATCTAGAAGAATGAGGATGGTCTCCTGGAAGAGATGATTTGAGCTCTGCTCTGTCTAAATTGGGAGCAGGGAGGAGAATACGGTATTTCAGGAAGCAGACAGGATAAATTACAGCAGTAATAAGATAACAAGGCAAGTAATTCAATAGATCTCAGTAGAGTCAATGTTAAGCCCAAAAAAAGTAGGTTGAGGCCTATTCTTAGAGAGTCTTCAATGCTGGGTACAACCTGGACATTTTAGCTATTTAAAGTGTTTGCGCAGATGTAGTAATATGGACAGAAACATGTTTTGGGAAGACGAGTTATGTCCTTGGTATGGTCTAGAGCTGTGCTGTCCAGTAGGTAGCCACTGGCCACCTATGGCTGTTTAAATTTAACTTAATTAAAATAAAAACTTTAGTTCCTCAGTCGCACTAGCTACATTTCACATGCTCAACAGCCACATGTGGCAGGGGCCACCCTACTGGACAGCACAGACATAAAACATTTCCATCATCTCATTAAGTACTATTGAACAGAGCTTGGAGACAGAAGAGGCTGAGGTCAAAAGACCTGTTGGAGACCATGACTATGACAGTGGTCCAGGGGAGCTGTAACCAGCCACAACTCATGGGACCATAGTGAGAATGGCTAGGAGGGGCAGGTGGAAAGCTGTCTTTACAGGGCTCATCACAGGGCCAGCTAAAGGCAGCAAGGGAAAACACACAATTTCCTTATTGGGTTTTTTGTTTGTTTGTTTGTTTGTTTAGTAATCTTCTTTGGAATTTCTCCAGCTCCATTATGTCTTTCTTGATTTCATAGAAAACCTATGATTCATTTTCATGCATTAGCAGGACCCTTCCCCACAAGATACAATAACCAGAAGCTCCTACTGACAAGTGGCAGATGTACTTTGGTGTGGAGAAGATGATGTATTTCAGAAAAAAGCCACCCAAACTACACTGATGGGATAATGAGTTTTCAGCTGAGACAACACAAGAGGGAGTCTCTGTTACCAACTTCTGAGGCATTAGTGTGATGGAACCTTTGTATGCAGTGTGATCAACAACACGCTAAGCTCTACTCATAATCTTGAAGATAAATGTCCACCGAGAAAACAATTCTCTGATGCTTTCTGCCATCAGACAAAATATTTAGGTGGGTGGACTGTGGGTCTAAACTACTTAAGGTTTCATTGTCTAATTCTATAAATGTGATGTAATTTTGCGTATCTGGATTCACTACTAATAGAAATTAGTTTGATTTCTGTAGCTCACACTCCTTCCCCATACAAATAGCATCAGCATCATCTGGGAACTAAGCTAGAAATGCAAATTCTCAGGCCCCACCTAGCAAGGCCTAATTAATCAGAAACTTTGAGGATGGGCCAGCCGCCTGGTTTAAGAAGCCCTCCAAGTGATTCTGATACACTATAAAGTAGAAGAACCACTATAAATGTAGCCAATTATCTTAGTCAGCTTTTCAACACTGACTTTGGGGGCGCTGTCAAAAGACAGGCATTTTTTATCTAGCTCCTTCATACCCCAAGCTGCCCCTATCTATCCAGCCATCCATTGATTCATTCATATCATGTGTTGAACGTATTTTAAAAGTCAAGAATAAAAAGTGTAAATGCAACCCAATTTTCTGACTATTGACCCAATGAAATCCTGATCCTTAGTTTAGATGTAAGAATCTTTTCCCCTGATATCGTCATCTTTCACATGTTCTTTATAATCACAGGAAGGTAAAATTCACCTCCAATTTCAAAATAATCCCATCAGAAACAGGTCTTTGCCTGTTGCCACCAACATTTTTATGGGGAATGTAGTGGGAACATAGAAGAGTCACCAGCAGAGCACAGCTTTCAGTATCCTTCAGTCACTCTGCCTAGTGGTTGGGGATGGATAATAAGGTGACTGCCCTCAAGGACCTGACCATTGGACACAAACAACTACTTCACTGCGACCATGATGAGCGTATTACAAGTAGGGTGTGTTGGACAGAACTGATTATTTGGGTGGGCATGTTGGAGAAGGCTTCACAGGGGGGCACTGATGCATAAATAGGATTTGATAAGAGAAAGGTGCCAAATAGGGGGATGGAAAAAGCCAGGGTTCAGAGGGAACAAAATGAGCAAAAGCAGTGAGGTCTGAAAGTATGAGGCGTGTCTGGGCAGTCAGAATGTGTGGGGTGGTCGGGTGAGGCTCGGGAAGTGGGCAGCGGACCAGTTCTGGGGCTTGTGACAACTCAGGCCAAAGAGTTTGAAAGGCTTCAACCTGCACAACGCACACAACTGTCTCTTGCCCTTGCCATTCCACGCGTGCTTTCAAAAAGAAGAGACAATACCTCTGAGAGAGAAGCTCCCAGGGACGACCTTCATTCTTTCATTCACAAATATTGCTTGAGCGTCCACGATGTGCCTGGCCCTGCCCCCACGGACACAGGCCCCACCCGAGGACTTGGAAATGTAACCAGAAGCAGGTCCCTCGCACCGGCCGCCTCGCCGCTCGCAACCTGCAGCCCCGGCATCCAGGAACTTCTGGGCAGTGGCTCACCTGGTTCCTCGGCGGAGGCGAGAGTGAGAGCGCCGGAGCCCCACGCAGCTCTGGCTCGGCTGGTGGCGCTGCAGACGCGGACGCCGGCGGTTTCCCGAGAGCCGTTGCGGCCGGACCCGCTGGCGTTCCGGCGGGCGGGGGTCAAGAGTGCGGGCGAGGAAGGGGAGCGTGGACAGCGGGGGTGGGGGCCTGGGAGTGGGGTACCTGGGCTGTGCTCCCGGCATTTGGGCCGTGGAAGCCCCTAACCTGTGCCACCCAGGCCTCCAGTGGCTTCCAGGTTTGACATTCTTGATTGAGAGCCTACCTGCTGCCAGGCCTCGCGCCCCGCACTTCACATACAGCAATTCACTAAAGTCTCCCCACAACCATGTCAGGTCAGAAGAGGCGTGAGCAAACTGGAGGCTAGAGGGTCAGCCAGTTCTCCAACCCTAGCTCTTGGCGCCACAAGCCTGGCACCTCCCACTGAAGGACACTCTCCTGCCCAGGTCTCCTGCTCTGCTCTCCCTCCTGAAGCTCAGTCGGTCACCGTTGCTCACTACAGCCTTGTATTCCCGATCAGCCCACTTGCAGCTTTATACCTGCTGGATTGCTGTATTAATGTCTAACGTATTGTTCACGCTACCTGTTCCTTTTTGTAAATTGTCTCATCCTTATAAGGGCAGGGTTTATTTATTATTTATTTATTTTTAAACTCTTTCATTAACTGCTGAAACATCAGTGCCTAAAACAGTGTGGTAGATATAGCAAGTGTTCAATAAATTTGCTTTGAACGATTGAACGGTTGCCCTACAGTTAATTGTAAGCTCCATGTAGGCAGCAACTGTGTGGGTTTTTTTTGTGTTGTTGTTGTTGTTGTTTTTTAGCTGAGCCATCCTGCTACCTATTGGCAGCTCAGCGGCTGCTCAGCTCGGGCTGGACTAGAACCGTTGTTGCTCAGAGCTCAAACTCTTGAGCGAGCTCTTAACCAACTGAGCCACTCGGCCAGCCCTGACTATGTGTTTTTTAATCACCCTTCCATTAGAAGTGCCTGGCATCAATACATACTTGTTGAATGAGCCACAGAATGTACTGCTCACTTCATCTTTACCCTTTTGGTCACTCTCACCTCATCATCCCAATTTGTTAGATAAACATGAAATTTCTTAGGATTCCTACTTCCAAGTTTCCTCCCTTGGATCCATTCACTCATTAGCTTGATTCCTCACTCTCACCCCTCATTTTCTTCACAGTCACATTTTTGCTCTCACTTCCTCCTTCCACTTCCATTACTTCTTTGAAAGCTCCCTAACCTGCAGATTAGCTTGGAATATTTTTAAGCAGCATGTCTTTGTAGGCAAGAGAACCTAGGCTAAGCCACCTTGAATCCAAAAAAGCTTTACACAAATCACCCTTGAATCTGGTTTGGGGTTTTTTTGTTTTTTTTCCTTAAGGAGAACTGAGGATCCTGCACCACCTCCTAAATTGAAATCATGGTCATTGTTCATAATTTGTTCAACAAATATTTATGGAACATCTTTTATGTTCCAGGCACTGTGGTAGATGCTGGGACAAGATAGGCAAAGTCTGAGCACTCCAAAGGATGCATAACACAAAAGAGAATCATCATGGGAAGTGATGCAAATTGTTCTGGCTTGGACCTAGCTATTTCTAAGCAAAATGACTAAGAGAATAAGATAGGGTCCAATTCTTCTGCTTATTGTAACATGATTCGGCATATGAATAGAGTTATAATAACTTGCCCGTTCACATTTATTATCTTGTTCAGCTTTACAAATGACCCTATTAGGTGGGAAGGTGAGACAGGAGGAATTCTCTTTTGCAGAACTAAGGTCTCAGAAAGGTCCACTGACTTGCCTAATAAGACACTGCCAGAAGACTACTCTGTCCTGTTCTTATGCTGAGAGGCATGAATTAAATGCTCAAAATCTTCTTCAGTGGAAGCCCGTTAGGTCAGGAGTCAATTTGAAACCCTCAACATAGTGGTTTTTAAAAATGCTTTTCAAAAGGGAGATATCAGAGACTTCCCTGAATCAGAAACGCCTGGAGCATAAGTAAAAATGCACATTCTTGGTGCCCATCACAGACCAATCCAATTAGACTCCTTGTGGGTCCTGAATCTGCATTTTTAAACTCCCAAGATGATTCTTTTGCACATACTAAAAGTTTGAGAACTACTAGGAGAGTTTGGGCGCAAAACCTCAGCCTTAATGCAGGACTAAGATTTGCTTTTGGGACAGATTTCATCAACATTCCGAAGAGTTAGCCATGTGTCCTTGAACAGATGCGAATGCTACATGAGCTGGAATTTCACTTTCTCTCTCTCTTTAATTTTAATGCAATTGTTGCTTGGAAATTGGGGATTCCGCTGAGCAGGTGCTCCGCTGCTGGTAACTAACCACTTGTTCAAAGATCTTTTGGCTGTTTCCCCGACCCCACATTTGTCACTGTCGCTTTCCACCACGAAGCCACGCAGTTGCCCCGCCGACCACCGTGGGGCGCACACGGCATGTGTTGCCCGCTTATCCTCTCCTTCCCGGGTCCGCCTTCGCGCCCTTAATAAGAACATACCCCGCGAGTTCCTGCCTCTGGTCGCCAGCTGTCGCTCTCTTCTCGCGAGAACTGCTACTCGCGTCCTCTCCCTTCATCAACCCCCTCCCGTGGGCAGGTTCCATATTGGGTAAAATCTCGGTTCGCGTAGAATCCCGGGATGTGTTCTCGCGAGAGTACGGCGGGAGGCTCCAGTTCGCTGGCTCTGGAAAGGCGACCACTGGAACCTCCGCGGGCGCAGCAGCTGGAGCCCTAGTCCCGTGGCGCAGCCCAGAGTCGGCCTGGTCCGGAGAGGGTGCAGGGAGAGCGTGGCGGGCGCAGCCTTGAGCCCCGGAGCGCGCTCCTACCCTCAGCAGGGCTTGCCCCGGTCGTTAAGGCGCGTCCAGCCGCTGCAGCTGACAGGGGCAGCGCGCGCGGGAGTCGGCGGGGTCGCGGCAGCCGCACCTGCGCGTGCGGCCAGTGCGGGATCGCAGCCCCACCCGGCGGGCAACGAGGGCCAGGGAGCGGGTGCGGGTGCAGGCGGGGCCCCCGGAGGGCCACCTCCTCGCCCCGCGGCCGCCGCTGGAAGATGTCTCAGGAAAGGCCCACGTTCTACCGGCAGGAGCTGAACAAGACTATCTGGGAGGTGCCCGAGCGTTACCAGAACCTGTCCCCAGTGGGCTCCGGCGCCTATGGGTCCGTGTGGTGAGTGTCACTGGGCCTGGGGCCGTGGTGTCTGGCTAGCCCTTCATGCCCCAGAGCCAGGCCTGCCCCCACGGCTCAGCGATGCACCAAGCGGCAGGAATTTTCCTTGGGGGAGGGCATCGCTGCCCCTTCGACCCCTGTCCAGCCCTCCCTGTGCCCCTTGCACCCTTCGCCCTGCACACCTAGGTAGGTGGTCAGCTGTGTGCAGGACGCAGGTCCTCGGTGGGCGGTGGTGCTGGAGCGCTCCGCTCTGGCTCGCACCCTGCACGTTACCTTCTTGGGGTTTGCTGCCCCGGGGAAGGCTCTTTCTGGGGGTCTCCCTGCTGACGTCGAGCAGGAGGACTCTCACCGGAGGTGCGCCCATTCCTAGGCTCCGGAGCTTGCCCCCTGAGCAGACAGGCCCGGGGAGCTGCCCGGAGAAGCAGAAGGGCAAAGCCCGACCGGGAGACTGCGGTAAACCGAACAAAACTGACGACGAGGGGCGTTCTGTCCCGGCTTCTTTGCAAACCTGTCGAAATCCCATTTTGAGAAGCGTTCTTTTTGAATTCGCACTTGAATTAGCAGCGACCCATAGAGCTTAAAATACCGACTTTATCTCGGTGAGCACTGTGCCAGCTTGAGTGGTGTGTTTCCGATTCGGTTGAAAGCGTATTTCCTTTTCGCAGAGTGGGGGGTGGGTGGTAGTGCCTGCACGAACACTGCAGCTTGAGAAACTGGCGGCCTCACTGATTAGTCACATACCACTGCTCATTTAAGTATTGTTTGACAAAACAATTTTCTCATTTGGTGCAAGTGAGAGCCAGATCCGTTGGACGCCCTCAAGATCAAAAAGTTATTATTGTAACAATGGTGGGAGGTATTGTAAATGTTTTTTAATTGCGATAATTCTTGTGAATGATACTATGTTTTTAAAGTCCCTGAGAGAGTTTGCAGGGAACTTATCTACATTTATAACCTAAGGCCCTGGTGGTTTTCATAAGGATGTGAAATATATAACAAAGGAAGGAAGAGACACTTTTCAGCTTTAATTCCCACTGTGAGAGTGTTTTACATTAAATTAATACCATAAAATTTCCGGACCTGAAATATTTCACTAATTCCTCTGACTTCCAAGGTTTTTTCATTATATTTTAGATTTAATGTGATTTGAGAGCTCCTGATCTGAAACTGATTCATGTAATTCATGCCCCTACCTCATTGGAAAGGGGTCTATAAAAGTATTTTTTTATTTTGGAACCAATTCCAGGCTTTTGAACATATTAGTCTTTAAATAGAATTCCCGTGTTTCTTAAAGTCACATCATGAATTTCCTGTTCGGTAGAATCTTCTGGGTAATTGAGATTGTGCAATTGTGTCTCGCAGAAGATCATATTGCATTTTCTAGTTCAAGCTGCTTGAATTAAGTTGCAAAAGGCACGATGCTTGACATCTTTTCCACATTTTTATAGCATGGCAATACATTGTAAGGGAATTTGCAGCATTTTACTGTACATATATGTGTGTGTTATTGATTTGCTAATTTTCAAAGATGTATTTGGACCATTGTTCCTTTAATAGCTCATTAGTTTATTTTTCATTCTTGAATTGACACATTGATTTTTGTAGTACCAAGTTTTTGTTTCCAGTGTTGAAACTTGAATGGAGTGATACAGAGAATAGCTCAACTGTGGTGAGTTTAGCAAACTTGAAAGGAACTACCTGCAACGTTTCCCTGCTGTTGGTGTGAGTAGCTCTGCACTGGAACTGGAGATCCCAAATTTACAGAGAAGTGCTATTCAAATGAACTCCACATTTCTTTGCTGCTAGTATACTTTCTGGCTTATAGAAGCCAGAAATGTCTGACACTTGGAATAATTTTGTTAAACAGGTTTTTAAAAGTAGGTAATACATTCACATTGTATAAAATTCAAAAAGTATAAAAGGATATTCAGTGAAAAGTCTTTCTTCTGTTCTCCAACCATGCTATTCCTTTCCTCAGAGACAGCTACTGTTAAGATTGTTGTGTGTCTTTCCAGGACGCAGAGTTTGTTTTTTTAGTAGTATTTCTGTAGAAGGGGTTTAAGGTGTAACCTATAATATATTGGTGGAAGAAAATACAACTGATATTTTGTGACAATTGACTAAACAAATATAATTGGTTTTTGGTTTGAAAATATCAGGATTTAGATTTACAAGCAAGTGTTATAAGCACAGTCATTCTTTCAGTTAGTAACTTTTCAGGTGTGGCAGAAAATACTTTTATTGAACTTCTTTTAGAATCCATTTTGGAGCCTTTGTTATTTTTCACTATCTTCATCCTTGGAGCGCAGATTTGATTTTAGGGAATCACAAACAAAATCAAATTGAATCTAAATAATTTAGAGAATTTGGACTAAAGTGTGGTTAAAAAGATTAAGCAGCCAGGTTGGTGATACTGTTTTATGTCAAATAGGAGTCGCAACTATAAAGTATGACACAGACTTTCTTGTGTGACTTGTAGAACTGGATCTGAAGTCTGTTCCCAAAAGGAACCTCTGAAAGTATTTTAAGGCATGCAACATAACTGAAATATGTGTCAGGATTTTAATTTGATTGCTCTGAAGTGCAGTACACTTTGAAGTGTAACTTAAAATTATTTTTAATTAAGGCTATTTTCATTTTTTTAAATTTGTGCTAAGTATATAGTAAAAACGCAAATAGTGTAGCCTTTGTGGCAACGAATCGTGAATGAGAGATCAAGGAATCAGACTAGAAATTTGAGAATTGATAGGGTTTTACAAATACGCTTTTTTTTTTTTAAGGGGTAAAGGGAACTAAACTAAGTCTTGCAGTTTTAAGGAACTTTGTGCATTGTCTGTGAGGGGAAATGAAGCAAAATTGTTTAAGAATATGTTGTTGCAAGGCATTGATTTTGTGGTTTTGGGACAGAAGGGGGGTGGGAATCTTTGTGGTGAGTTTAAGGAAATATAAACAGGAACTAAAATACCTTTTCTCTGGGGTATGGTTTTTCCAGACCCTTGCTGTTGATTAGAGGAGGTGGGGGGCACTGGTAACCATAAAATAGGTAAGAGTTGAGAATTACTCTTAAATCATATTCAGTTGTTTATTCAACAGTATTTATTAAACACCAACAATGGACCTGATAGCGGACTGGGTTTCTTGAGATAGTGTGCTGAACAAGGCAGAACAAGATAATACATTCCTCATCGAACTTATCGCCTAATATGAGTAAGAACCACATTTTATGGATTGCTTACTGTGTTCCAGGCATTGTGCCGTGCAGTTTATATTTATCATCAGTGTATAAAGTATATAACAGGACTTTTACTTAAGAGGATGACAAAATTTACTGAGAAATCAAACCCAGCTTCCTAAATGTTTTGTAGAACAAGTTTGTATATAATTAAATACAATAAAAATAAGTGAAGCTAAATTTTGCTAGAATCAATAGCCATTCACCATCTCAAATCTTTTTTTTTTCTCTCTTTAAGATGAGCCTGGGCACATGTAAATGAAAATACGGCACCACTGAGTACCATTGAGTATGCAGAGATGACTTTCTTGACTCCTCATCAATGAGCGGGGCTTGCTCTTTACTTTTCTAGTGATCTTTCTTCCCTTTTGCTTTTCTTTGTAACCAAAAATCAGGTGATTGCTGCCCGTTACCAATGTTAACCAATAAATATTTAAACACAATGGCGAATATTCATATTGCTATATAAAGACTTTTAAGAAGGAGTTCAGTCAAGTTGGCTATAAAGTCAGGTCTTATTTACCAGATCCCATTTTTCCATTGATACTTTTCCACCGGTTCCCATTTTAAGAGTATGCTGGACCTCTGACTTTTCAATTCTGCTGGTTTAATTGATACCGAGGCGTCCTCTGCCTTTGGTTTCCTTCTTACTCAGCTTCAGAGATGATCTGTGTGTTGACTTTGCCTTTCATGGGCAACTGTGCAAATGGTGCTGAGCCCCTGAGGCTTAGGATTCAAAAGTGGAAGCCTTCACTGGGCTAGCTCACTCTCACGTTAGTATTAACTGACATTTTTATGGGATTTTTTACTTTATACAGTGTTTTCATTCAGCGCGTTATCACTCAGACTTCACTGGCTCTAGGAAGGCTGGTATTACTAATCCGGTTACGTAGCTAAGGAGCTGGACTCATCCATTAAAGGAATGGTGTACTTGTCGGTGCTGCTTTGGATTTGTTCTGGGGTTTCAACGCTAAAAGCCTTTTCTGTGTACAGAGGCTGCTGACGTGGCGTGGTGGCACCTTCTCTGGTGTGTTTTGCCTCCTTTTGTGTTACTTCTCCTTTTGTGAATACGGGGGTTGCTGGGTCACTGGGAGTAGAGCTGATGGTATAAAACCAAACCCACCAGTGTCATTACCCAGCTGTTCTGAGGGGTAATGACTTACTGAAGTCACATCTCTCCCTCAGAATTGGTAAACCCCCAATGAACTTAGTGTCCAGATTAACTTTTTTCCCAAAGAATTATTAGGCAGTGCAAATAGTTAATTCCTGAATTTATGAATCCTGTTGGATTCTTCAGTGTGCATTTTCTGAAGTTGGGGCTATCTCTATATGTGTTATGTAAGTATAGGATATAAATAGAAGTAATTATCTCTTCAGACCTTTGAAAATACATTGGATGTTTCCTCTTGACTGTGAAATTTGTTATTGATTTGTTTCTATTACTGTAGTACTAAAAACAAAACTAAAAAAACCTCATTATAAAATAGGTTCCCTGACTTGGGATCGTCTCATGGTTGCCATGTATGAAAGTCATACACGTTTCTTCAGAACAACAATGAAAAGATCTCATTATACTTTAAATTTTTTCTTTTGTAAATGAAGCTTTCAGTATTAGCAGTGGCTTGTCTTTGCATAGTGTTTCCATAAATTAGGTACATATGTGTTAAGGATTTATAAAATTAACTGGCTTTCTAGATTTCATTCTCTTGCACTGTGTTGTACAGCTGAAACTAATTCTAAAAAATGTATTTCACAATAAAAAATAATT